GGCCCCCCCCCCATAAATTATATCCTAGAGGGCCGCCACTGCTACCACTAGGCCCGAGACTAGGTTTTGAAAGGTGTTGTTTCTCTGGTCACTTGGTTGCAGATCTATTATGTATTATTACTATTAAAATGTCTATTATTCTAATAGCACTGGCCAGGTAGGGCCAGGCTACGTCTCTTGCAATGCATAGCTTGAGCCATTTGCACAATTTAATTTGCAAATTGTGCAACAAATCCTTGCACAGTTTGCCAACTGTTCAAGGAAATCTTGTGCAATTTGCAAACTGTGCAAGAAGTTTTGCACAATTTGAAAACTGCAAGGTCCAGGAGAATGTTGCAGAGACTTTTTAAAATGCGCGGAAAATTTGCAAACTGTTAGGGGTAGCTTGAGCACATTTTAATCGATTTACACATTTTGATACTTTTTTACTATTGTTCTTCTGTCGTAGTCTGACTGTGTGACAGGACTTATTATCGGAACATTGATCAAAATCGTTGGGACATTTGGATAAGCCAAATATGAATGGATCATGTGGTGGGGAGAGATGAGCCATAAGAGATGAGGCGGTAGGGTGGGGACATACTGCTCACAGTTTGAAACATCATCCGCAAAATGAGCAAAAATAAAAATCAAGGATACTAGCTTTGACACAACTTTTTCTTATTGCCTTACAATGGTAACTCTCTCAGTAGGCAGGCTGGGCCCTGACAGGCTTATCGATATCCTTATTCATTAAAACCGAGTGTTTATAAATCTCAGTTTATTTTACAGCTCTACCAAGCAATGGAAGACCTAGCTGAACAGCTTGCCACATCTTTTTGTGTGACCAAATCTGAGAATACCACCGCTGTATGTCATCCAAGACTTGCACAATATAAGAGCAAGGAAGATCGCTCTGGGCTGCAAGAGGAGCGTCGCAAGAGAAGACTCAATAATCAAAAACAGTAAACAAAGAATTATATCTTTAATATTATAATAAATGAAAAAATTATAAATACTTGATATTTCAATGATAACTTGATATTTCAATGATTTTCAAAATTATGTTCTAAGGCTGGTTTTCTAATTGGGAGGAACGGTGAAGTTGTGATCGCATACTACAGCATACTATACAACTAACCAAGTGTCCAATGCTTTTTTTAACTATTAAAAAAAGACTATAATTCAGCCTTTGTGAGTACAAAGGCATTAAGCGAAATGTTTTTTCAAGTTTGATGTACCTGTAGTTTGGTAGAAAGTTCTATAATTGACCCCAGATCAATTGTGGATTTGGGAATTACAAATACAAATTGTACTCACCACTGCCTCCTTAAGAACCGACATTGGGACTTTTGCAAATACCAGTAGTCTCATGCAACATATCTAAAAATATGTAGAGCAACACATTTTCTATAGGAAGGTTTAACAAATTATTGGTTCTGAAAGGACTACAGACAGATGTTCTCCAGTAAACAGGTTTCTCGAGTTTATGTTGCAGTAGACCTTTATATTACTTGTACCAGATTTACTGCCTACTGGTACAGCACACAGCACACATGACATAAAATTTAACTTTGGCTGCAGAGGGTTTACAGCACCAAGTTTTTATACTAATGCCCCTCTCCCACCTAGGTTGATTTCATCCAGGAGTTGCGTAAGTTCTCCGAGTTAAAAACTTGTGAAACTTGTAATTTAATTCGCTTGGGAAAGGACCTCTATATGAGCTTACTACGTGTTAGCTACGAATTATGTGCTAGTTATGCCGAGCGAAGCACCGAGTTCGCTACGAGCTTTACAAGATTATTACAGTATGAGCTTAACAAGTTTGTACCGAATTAGATAGCGAGTTAGGTACGAGCATTCCGATCAAATGTTTCTGGTGATCATAACCAACTTGGTGCGCTTGTATTTAAGTTGTACTCGTTTTAGGGTGCTCGCATCTAACTTGTGGATTACAAAGCCACCAATGAGTATCCTGAGTAGTGTACGAGTTAGGTAGCAGTACCCTAAGTACGAGTTACCTATGAGTCTTTCGAGTTTACTATGAGTTCTCAACTCTTTGCACTAATTTTGAACATGTTCAAAATTAGCGCCACAAGTTCAGAGCTGCTACAAGTAGGTACGAGTTCTCCCCGAGCTTCCTGAATCGTCCTATGAGTTTATGCTGAGTTTGTCGAGTTAGCAACTCGGCAAACTCTTCTAACTCGTATGCTGAAAAAACCCTTGTAGGAGAGGGGCTTTACAGTACTGTATATGCTTATTCTATTATATGTTTATTATTTTGCATTGCATATTATTCTTAAGTTTTCGTTTTAAGGAAGAGGTTGGATTATGCCAATTATGCCCGAAGGTTAGCTGAAAATGATTGGGACGGAGAAGACGACAATGATAATGGACAGGATGAAGAAGAGAAGATGGATACATTGCAGGGCAGGAAACGTCTGCCAAATCGTTATGCAAATCAGGTAATCAAGGCCGATTAGATTGATAGGTACACATGGTATGTAGGTAAATAATGAAGACAACATATAATAATATTGTATAATACATCAATTGCAGTCAATGACATTATAGTTTTTTCAACATGAGGACAGCTAGTAACACAAGTTACAATAAGGTAAGGTAATGGGTTGGTGTCATTGCATTGGAAATGCTGGAAAAGAATTATTTGATGGGGTGAGAATGTCTTAGTCAATCTGACCAGGTATATGGAAGTTTGACAAAAAAAAAATTAAAATACCCTAAAAGTGGCGAGTCACTTACTTTTTGGTCGAAATGATATCTTAAAATAAATAATGTATATTATTAGTATTACATTAATCTTATCAATATTATTAAAGTTGTTTTTTTTTATTTGGAAAATTTAATACTGAATGTCATATTTATTTATCTCTGAACTATATTTTTCAGATTACATATCATTTATGTTTTTCCAGCTAATGCTCTCTGAATGGTTAGTAGACATACCTTCCGACTTCGAACAGGAGTGGCTAATGGTTTTTTGTCCAGTGGGAAAAAGAAATCTTGTAGTAGCCTCAAGGGTAAAGTATAACTTGTGAAAATTAAAATAATAATAATAATGAATAATATTCAAATCAAATAAATGATGAAATGGTTTTTATATGTCAAATTTGATGTGATTTATTATGATGGTTAAAATGACAATGGTAACCATGGAAATTGCATTTACACTTGTGTTCATATTGATAATGGTAACTGGTAATGATGAAGCAGCACTCTGAGACTACCTTTGAAGATGTAATTCATTCAGCTCAAGCTTTCACTGGCAGTCAATGGCAGCTTTGTGTTGCAGCCTTCATCAGGTGTTTTGCCACCTTTATTATGTGTGTTGCCACCTTCATCAGGTGTGTTGCCACCTTTGTCAGGTGTGTTGCCACCTTCATCAGATGTTTTGTTGCCACCTTCATCAGGTGTGTGGCTACCTTATTACTATAGGTGTGTTGACACCTTCATCAAGTTTCTTGCCAGCTTCATCAGGTGTGTTGCCACCTTTATCAGGTGTGTTACCACCTTCATCAAGTGTTTTGCCAGCTTCATCATGTTTGTTGCCAGCTTCATCAGGTGTGTTTTCCAGCTTGATTCAGGAACCTGATGACCCTGTCATCGACTTCCAGCTAAAGCTTGTGCTGAATAAACTAAATCTTGAAACTTAGATTCAGAGGGCTGCCTCATTATTACCCATTATTTCTATTATTGCTCAGACTAACACAGCTATATAACTACTTTCACTATAATTGTAATGGTACTGCAATACATATTTTGGCGAAGGGAATGTGGGTAGTTTTTAAACTACTTCAGCGTAATGTTTGCTCAGTAGATTTTCAATGGCAGAGAGGTGGGGAGAGGGCCTTGGGGTGAAGATCTCTCACAGGGATGGAATAGGCCCCTTAGTTATTCCACTGCAGATTGCTCAACTAGAAGCATTTCAATTAATTTTATTTAGTGTATGTGAATATGTTATAATTGTAGTATATTGTGTAGGGCTCAACTGCATCATACACCAAGAGCGGTTATTGTATAAAAAGATTTCACTCGCACCTTCCAGGAGGAAATAAAGCAACAAGGCGAACATTATCTGGTAAATATTTATATTCAATCAAATCAAATCAAATATACTTTTATTTTCCATACAAAAATGTAGTACAATATACATTAAGAATGCAAAATAATATTGATGTTAGTAATAATAATGATGATACAGTATTATTGTCATTATATGAATGGTTAGGATAATAATGTACACAATATGTTGGCTTCCCATCTACTGGCCTTTAAAAGTTGTAACATCAAATATCAACCTCATCCATATTCCAAATGGAGTTTTATATGTAATGAATGAATATTCATCATTCACTAATTTTGATTTAAACATAATTTTTGCTTCAATCAATCGACAATCACTTACATATCTTATCAAAATATATGGCACTAGAGATGACAGCAGTTCTTAGTGTGCAGAAAGTTTTAAAGGTTATTGTTAAGTTAAAAAAACCTAACCACTTAATTAAATGTACTTTTAAAGTTGTATTTGGTGGAGAGATAAAGACGCAAATAAATATCTTTTCCTAAACATACAAAGATAGAATGTGATTCGAACACCTGGTCTCAATGTTTAAAAAAACTCAGTCACTGTTTTATAAAAGAAATTTATGTACTGCATGTGTCTTACTTCTTTTAGATTACACTATACTGGATTGTGTCTATGATGAAGTAACCCGTACCTACTACATCTTAGATGTGATGTGCTGGGGCGGCCATCCTGTCTATGATTGTGACACAGAGTTCCGTTTCTACTGGTTGCAGTGTAAAATTCAAGAACTGCCTGAGGTTACCCAGCAGTCCAAGCTCAATCCTGTATGTGTAGGCTGTCAGGTCATTTTATTTAACTCCATAAGATATATATTTTGAGTAACTTAAAAATACATTACAGTTTATAATAAATTCGGTGTGCAAAGGCTTTTCATCTGGATAGATGGATTTTATTCGGTGGAAACAACAAGTATAACCCACAAAAGTGTGAAGAAGACTTATTTCCAGACAATCCCCTAATCTTTTCCGAAGAGAGTACTCCGTTCTTTAACGTACCCATGGGCCATAACGCACACAGGATCAGCGGATTAATATCTCATCCGAAAGACGGTGCACTATTGTAATTTGCATTTCTGCCCTCCAGCCCCTCCAGCTAAAACACAAGGAGAGCATCAATGGGAATTAAACCTGGTACCAAGATATCTCCACAGTTCAGCACACACAGTGGCTACCACCAGTTTTGCCTAAGCTGCTTTTTCTATGAATTTATAATGCATTTTTTACTACCACATCTTTTCTTAGGAGAAACTCTTGGTAATTCTGTTAAATCATAAAATTGCCTATTCAAAAATTAGTAATCAACATCCAATGAGACAATTTAATACACTCAAATCAAGATAGAGATATGCAAAGAATTAGAAACAGTGTTATATATCTGATATTTTCTTCTAATTTTTAAGTTAATTAGCTCAACTAAAAATTATCATTAAAAAGCACTTCCTCTGATGAAAATTTATACTCCTATTATTGTTCTCTTCAATGTAATCTGTATTTCTTTAAATCGCAATAAATTGATTGCCTCAAAATTGACCCAGATCGTTATTTTCTAAATAATATCAAGCCTGACACACAGCCTCGGCTGATGGTGAGCCTAAGAATTTGTCCACGGTATGTGAGTGCTGGCGCTGTATAACTCCGAAAAACAGAATTACATCAGCTGCTGATACCGAAATAGGATTTACAGGGCTTAAGATTTTTTCATTTTGTAATAGACCATATGTATCTAACTTGTTCTTTCATATACACTAGAACCCCTCCTTTTGGACACCCCTATTAGGGGACACTTTTCCACCCATGAAAGAAAGATAAAGTACAGTATACCTTTTAACACTACGGTCAATTCCTATTCAAGGGACACCCTATTAAGTGTCCCCTTAATAGAGGTTGTACTGTATTGGTATTTACCAACTACTGTAATTTTGCATAGTTGCTGCTAATACTCCAAACGCATTCAAAGAAATATATATAAATTTTAACAGCATTAAGCTTTCAATTTTTCCTTTTTGTAGGTGAAATTTGTAGCCCTGTCAAGTTTTGCATGTGTGAAGTCTACATTGCAAGAGGTTCTAGTAGGACCAATTCCATTACAGGTAAAAATAGCATAGATTGGAGACATTTATTATTTTGTCTTACTACTGTAATGCCAGTCCTTTCATTATCATAAACATTATATTATTGACAAGATTTTTGTAACGATCAGAAAGAATAAAACTTGTGTGATTAATGATTTTACTGGTTTCGGCAAGTATCTTCAGAAATACTGCATTTTGCAAATAGTTTATGTCTAATAATAGCGAAAGGACACCATCATCATCATCATTATCATCATCATTTAAAGAGTGTAATTGATCCATGCTAGCATGGGTTGGACTGTTTACCATGATTGCACATGCCAGTCATAACTATTGATATTATTACTTCCTTTTCCTTTGTAGGCCAAGCTTGATGGATTACTATTTTATCACAAAAAGACACACTACACATTTGGCTGCACTCCTCTTGTAGGATGGCTGAAGGCATGGATGGTACCAGAAATACTTGGTGTACCCGTGCCGCAATCCATAATGAATTCTAGGCCCCCAGGTGCCAAGTTTAGACCCCCTTCTCAATCTATGGATACATCATTCCAATCAAATACTGGTGATGCTACTAACACAATAGACCAAAAAGAAGATGAGGCCTCTGAAGCTGTAGAGATGACAGAAGGAACAGGTAGCTGATAGCTAAAATCAAACATGGTATTTTTAATAGATCTAAAACCTGCTCTATCATTTGCAGTGTTTTGAACATTGAAGACAGTGTTTATGTTCATAATATACAGTAGTTGCAATTCAGAGGAATAAAATGACAGACATTATGGTGATCATGTGTTTTGGTGGACCTCCTATTCTTGTTGGAAATGTAAACAGCCTCTGCCTAACGTTGATTGGCTGTTTTGGACATTGTATCCAAGCTAGCTGGCCCACTAACTGTTGAATTTTATTATTATTATTATTATTAAATTTACTGTATGTTCAACTAATAGCATGAATAAGGAGGACTAGATATAGGTTTCATCTGTTCATTGAGGGTAATCTGTGTGCTCCGGTGTCCAGTAGACAAAAGGGGTAATTTTTAAGACGAAGTGGATTTGCAATGGAGCTGTAAGTTAGTGGTTAAGATGCTTGCATTCCAATATGGCTGGGTGTATAAAATTATTCTTTGTTTTAGAAAATGTAGCTCATTTTACTTTAAGAATAGAAAATAATTTCAAACTTTTTTCACAAACAAAAAACCACTCCATAAACTTCATACAGAGACTAAAGTCCAACTCAGACAGCGTCCTATGATGCAGCCTGGTGCGGTTTGTTGTCGCATCGGGTCTGTGGGAGTTTAAGCGCAGACGCGACGGTTTGCGTTGGGGCAGTCAAGTCATAGAATATTAAACATACTTAATATTTCTCATGACAACTTACTGTAAGACGGTAATGAATCACGTTGGGCTGCGTCGTACGACGGTATCTGAGTTGGCCTTTAGTGATAGAGCATCGAGGCTCTGGGTACATCACCCTTTTTAAATATGTTGTAAGAGAAAGAATATGTATGTCAGTGTTTAAATATTGGTATATCAGATGTCTCAAGTTCTACGGATGCCTAATTATGGATTTACGGAAATAGACCCAAAATACTACAGAAATTTATCATTAGGCCTAGCCCCATAAATATGTATGTCTACACATGGTCTAACATCCAGAACAAATGACTTTTTCAACAGGATCTTTGGTTACATTGTCCCTAGACAACTCCGACTTGTCAGATTTAAAACCAAAAATGAGTGACCTATAAATTTTAATCCTGTCCGATTTGCTTGAAATTCCACAGCTTATATTATGCTGTACCCGAAATTTAAGCGACCCATATTTTGCACTCAAGACAAATTATTAGGTGCTTTGGAAATTTCGTATTTACTGCAGGTATTTGAAGACATTTTACTAACTTGAGAAGTCTGGTATATGAAAATGCAGAATGTGCTTTGTTTAAAAGATTTGCATTATTGTGCATGGAATGGAGCTGCCACTTTAGGCGAGAATTTTTCTATACCTTGTTTAGCGAACCCGTCACACGCCAATAATAATGATTTCGAATAAAAATAAAATTTTACTTTTGGCCGATTAGCATACACGCTGCCACGAAAAAATGGAAATTTTCTTTATTTTTATTACACCCACCGCTGCCTTGAAATCTCCAAATATCAGATAATGTATATATGTATTCCTTCCTAATTATGTTAATTGAAAGCATTTAACCATCCCATTACTACTAGGTTTTTGGTTCAAGAGTGTATACTAAATTGATTAAATGAATATTTTGGGTTAACACAACTCTGATCAACAAGACATCAGATATCTATTTTCTCCCGGTGTGCTGTATGTCATTGTATATAGATTTATATTTTGATTGTAATGAGGGGGCTGTTTCAATATTTCCATGAATGAATTTCTTTTGTATTTGTGTTGTTTATCAAATAGCTTTCCACTATAGGTTATTTGTCATTGATTTTGCAGCACAAATATTGTCCTACTTAGAATATTTGCTTTACTGTGTAATGGCGTGCTGGTTCAAAGTGTGACGCAAATGTTAATTATGTCATTGGTCGTTTTCTGTAATTGTAGTGACATAGTTATTCCCTCCATGCTGCAATTCATTCTGAGGAAACCTGGTTAATGCTATATTATTATATATATTACAAGGATAGTTGCTATGGGTATAGATTTTTTTTACAAAAAGTGAATATGTGGTAAATACTGTATTGAGTTCCAAGTTCATTTTCCAACAAACTTTGAAACATTATGAAATTTCAAAAAAATAAATTATTGAGAGTAGAACTGTAAGTTTGTGGTTGCTTCTACAGCTGTGTTCCTAGCATCGAATCTATAAGCCTCAAGATGTAGGCCTATGTTCAGACTTGAGAGATGCACCATTGCTGGTGGTGGTGGTAATATTATGATGATGATGATGATATGATGACAGAGATAATTATACAGTACACCATAACCATACAGAAATAATAACAAGAAGCATTTATCGATTCATTTTGTACTGATGGCAATGATGATGGTGGTGGATGAATGAATGATGATGATACCTTAAAGATCATAAGGATAGCGCACAATTATAGGTTTATAATGATGATGCCGATGAAGGTGAGGATGATAATCATGCCATAGAAATTTCAGTAAGATAACGAACACTTATTAGTTAATATGGCGAGCTGGCCACCCAAATTTCCTCTACCATTGCCTGCTCTTATCTTCGTTCTTTTCGCTCCATTTACGAGCAAAATAACATCGATAATGGGAAAAATCGTTTGTTCAACTGGCAGTAGCAGTGATGTAATACAAAGTTTAAATCGAGGTTTTTTGGGCATGGGGTTAAAAAACGTTGGCAATAAATTTGGAGAGTAGCACCTTTTTCAGTGGTCTTGTAACATTACGACCAACCCCTATGAAGAGAGAAATGTGACGCTTTTTGGTTCCGACGTTTTCCCCTTAATAGTGTTCCGTTTCAGTTTGTAACGGAGGCCTATGGGCATGTAATAAAGTCTTGGTTACAATGTTACACACCCCTAATTCATGTGTATACTGTACTAGGGCGGTGGGTGACTGCAAGCATTCGTACCCATTTTGTTCCGTGGCATTGCCAAGTTCAAAATATTTTCTTTCTTAAAAAGCAGACGGTAAAGCAATTTTTTAAGCCTACATGACCTAACAATGGGTGGCACATATTTACACACTGAAAAAAAAATAGAAATACACTCTTGATATTGCACACCCAATACAAATTACATAGGTACGCTTATAAATTTGTATATAATTGACACCACATTGTACGATTCGATTCAAACCAAGTATTGTTTCTAAACTTTTAATCTAAACAAAATATTCCAAAGTAAATATGTAACCCACATATGACCCTGTAAACCTAAGTAACACGTGTACAAGTATGAAAATTTTCTAAGCACCTGTATTTCTTTTATTTATGTATATATTCTAAGCTAATTGAAATATTTGCATATTAATGCTCATGCTCATGCGCACACACACACACATGCGTCATACATACACTCCAGTATATATACAATTAGTATAAATAAACATAGTATCTACGGTATATACCATGTATGGTAGGCCTACATCAAATATTGACATTAGATATATGTATAGTATATATACGAATAATATACAATACATATATACCATATATATGATGTATATATATATATATATATATATATATATAATTTATCATATTTATATATGATTATATACATTTTATATATTACTTTAAATATATACAATAATACAATTTTATCTTAATTCAAACTTCAGGTGTTATTTTACAATTAGCTCAGGTATTATTATACTTGTATGTATCATACATAAGTATATTTATAATACATATGTAAATATGTTATATTGTTTTATAAACACATTTGAACAGACACCCTTTCCGCAGATACATGCGCACACCTATTATAGGCTACACTACGCACCCACACGCCGATACACTCCCACATACATACACACACACTCCCACTTAAACTATGCATGAGATAATTAGCTATGAACAATAATTCTTTACTACACTATCTGGCTAATGTTCGAATCCTAATATAGGTTTTCTTATTATAATATAATATATTACATAACAGACAACGGTTACTGTGTGAACAGCTTTGCAGCTACCCACACATTATTATATACAACTATTGCGTAGAACTTTCAGTTAACATTTTATTATTGGAATTTACATTTACAATAATCAAATATTAAATAACATGGAGAAAATTAATGTGACAGGTTAAACAATTCAATTACTGTAAAGGCAAATGTCATATAAATCAACGCTAATACACAGGGACTGTGTATTAGCATGATCCAGGGCACAGTATGCTAAACATGTGACTAATTATTTAGTCAATGAGAATAAGTTCTATAAAACTGGTTTTATTTTATTTTAATCAACTGTTAATAACTGAATTCATGACCAACCTTGGTGTAATTCATGAGAAAAATTGGTATAATTCATAACCAAACAAGGTGGAATTCATGAGCAAATCCTATAATTCATAAGCAAACAAGATGTAATTCATGAGCAAAAATGGTGTACGCCATGAGCAAACCTGGTGTAATTCATAAGCAAACCTGGTGTACGTCACGGGCAAACCTAGTCTAGTTCATGATGAGCAAACCTGATGTAATTCATGAGCAAACCTGCTGTACGTCATGAGCGAACCTAGTGTCATTCATGAGCAAGCCTCGTGTACGTCATGAACAAACCTGGTGCAATTCATGAGCAAACCTGATGTACGTCACGGGCAAACCTGGTGTAGTTCATGATGAGCAAACCTGGTGTAATTCATGAGCAAACCTGGTGTACATCATGAGAAAAACCTGGGGTAATTCATGAGCAAACTTAGTGTACGTCATGAGCAAACCTGGTGTATCTTTTGAGTAAACATGTTTAGGTTCATCAGCAAACCTGGTGTGATTTGTGAGCAAACCTGACGAAATTAATGGGAACCTTTTTGGTTCTAATAAACCCATTGGAAGAAATTGTTAAACAATATATATTATTCGTCATTAATTTTGTAATTCTCAAAATGCATTTTGGGGGTTTATATTTTGGAATTTGTCATTGGATAATACTTAAGCCGTTTGAATTTCAAATGCGCATTTCTGTGTCGAAGGTAATGCATACAAAACAATATCAAATGAAATATAAGTAAAAGTCAAGTAAATCCTATTTTAAAGTTTGTTGAAAACAACGACTTACGTTCACGAACAGAATTAATATGACGCATACTATGTAATGATATGCTTCTTTGTTCTTCAATATGGACATGCTCAGTTTAAACTATAAGGGGCGTACTACACATGCTTATCCTATAGACAGAAACTCAGTAGGCCTAAACAGGGGAATTGCTCATCCAATCAGCCCTGAAACTTGACTTGGATTGATCCTACCTAAACAGCTTTAGTTGAGCTAATGAAGACCAAACTCTAGCTTGTAATATAATTTAAAAATAATAACGATTAGTACATTATACATGGCTATGCTGATGATGACCATCTTACATAAAACATTTATAATTCAATACCAGAAGTGTATATATATATATACTGTCTCTTATACACATCTAGATGTGTATAAGAGACAGCTCTAATATATCTATATATATATATATAATTTAGTACTTAAAATCTAAAACCTATCGAAAATTCTTGCATAAGACATCTAGTAATTTTTGCAGTTTGCCGTTTTCCATGGGTTATATGTCGTAAAGACAATGTTGAAGAAGCACGAATGTCTTGGTCACAATACGCCTCGTCTGCGCCGAGGTCCGTAAACTAGTTCCCCGTGTTTGGCACGTGTTACTGTAAAGAATTTTTTCAGCGTAAGCATCCTCGTTTGAGAATATAGGATGTAGACTAATGACATAATCCTGATTTCAATAAACGAATAAGAAATCCACTGCGCATGACCAAACGCACACGAATATACCACCCATCCATTCCCTGTCAAAATTCAAATACTGAGTAGGTTTTTTCAAGCTTCAAAAAGCTTGCTTGGACGTTGTTCTTATGACTCTACTTAAATTGGTAGAGGATTAGTTCATTAAATGTTTGGAAACGTTTATTCGATTTGACAGCAACGCGTCGTACAGAAACACCACCGAGAAGGCTTAACAAATCCTTTCTTTCCAGGCTTTCCCATTATAAAGAGTTCCTGATCTGAAATGGATAAAAAATAAACAATTGATGCAACAGTATTGGTATTTATTTCACAAATGTACACAATGCTATGATAGTGAATTGCATTTTCAACATACCTTTTATCAAAAGGTAAATAATAAAAAATCATCATCATAAATGTATAATAAGACACGGAGGTATACCTTCATGGTGAGACGTCGATGACATACCTGTGACGATCTGTTTCTCTTCTGATTCCAACTCCCTCATTAAAGACTGTATACTTCTGATGTCTCTACAATTACATTAAAGTAGAATGATTGATTGATTGAATTGATGATTGATCCAATCGATTGATTGATATGTTGATTGATCATTTATCGATTGATCCATTGATTGGTTGATTGACTCAGCTGGCTGGTTGATTGATTGATTGATTGGTTGGTTGATTGGTTGATTGATTGATTGATTGATTGATTGATTGATTGAATCAGCGGATGATTGATCCAATAAATCTATTGTTTGATATATTTACTGGATGGTTGATCCAAATCAATTGTTTGATTGATATATGTATCAATAGATAGATGGATATAGATAGATTAATTAATTGATTGATTGATTGAATGGATGATTAAATAATTGATTTACTTACTTTGCGACAGCCTCCACGTCATCAAACCCATTCGCCCTGGTCCCATTATAACTGTCCGTAGTGAGTGATGAAACATCTGGTGATAGTAGATTACATTTACCTGACTTGGACACCCGGTTGTCTACATCACCATGCGTCGGCACTGTACCTGGAAGAACATCTGCGTTACCATCTATATAAGCAGAAGAGAACTTGAACAGAAGCAATTATGCGTCGGAGTACAGAGGCTTTACACCTGTTGTCTACTAGGCGAATCAAAAGTGTCGGTTCGCTTCTTGAGCTCTGATTGGTTGCGCAAGTGGGAACAGTTCGAACTACTGAAGCCTAGTGTCCATAAAAATTGCTACACGCTATCGCCGACTCCTTTGGCAACGCTGATTGGTCAGTTGAATCAGGAGCGTTACCGATTGCGTCGTCGGGGACAGCTACGGTACGCAATGCAGTGAAACGCTGCAGCGACTGTGTAGCGATTATATGGAAATCAAGCTTTGTACAACGATTGCACTGAAAACACTGTAGTGACAGTGTAGCGATAGTATGGAAAACCAAGCTTTATTTCGCTAAAGCAAAAAACTCCGATAGAAATGTGAATGCTCATCCCAAAGCGCATATGCTCGCATGAACCGACGCTTTAGATTCGCGCGAATAAATTGTGGAAAACGGCGTTAATAAGTTCTTGTAAATTTGTTAAGTTAAAGCATCATTTATTGCTATCATCATTAGAGGACGCCCTAATTGTTACTTAACATTGTAGTCAGTTTTCAACAACGATTGTAACGCAATTGTTACGACAAAACCATTGGCAGCGGGACGCCTACGGCGTTGTCATGTAATTTGTTGATTTAATATTTAATTTGTAGCATCATAGTGTATTATTGATTTGGATTATGCAATTATTCAAGTTGTGTGTTTTGTCAGAAGGACCGATGACAAGGAAACATGGGAAAGTAATAGGCCTGTTTGTAAGAATGACAAAGCGTAGACTTGTGATAAACATGATTTACAGTAATATTTATGTTAAAAACTCTGGGTTTTTTTCTAATTTGGAGAAAAGAAATTATCTCAAACCATCGACGTGTTGATTAGTCTACACGACCACTTTGTGCCAAAAATACTTTTAGAACAATTTTTTAACACCAATTGCTCTCTCTAGCGTTCAAACGAATGGCAGTAATAATTTTATAGTAATTGCGTCTGAATACCGGTACCACGTTTGATGATTTTGGTTTTTTTTTTTTAAACTAAGCTAAACATAGAAAGTACAGAAAGGTTCATCACGTGACTAAAATGCAAATTAGGGAATACGACAATATCTTTAAAATGTTTGAAACCGTTTCATGACGTGAATGCAATAATACCTTGAATCTCATCAACACTGATGTCCATAAATTACAAATCGAAGTCCTAAGGCATGTGTAGATTATTTTGTCGATTAAACAATGCACTGTTTGTAACATAGATCTAAGCAAACGCTCTGCAATACTGTTTAAATTTGATCATATCCGATATTCATTTCCACAATGCTTTTAACGCGTTTCGTATTCGAATACAGTATAGTAATGATTATAACTGCGATGATTACGTGCCGTAATAGAACTCAAAGGCTACGTACAGACAGATGATGTTTTAAAATTCTACAATGCTCTAACGCGTTTCTGATTCGAATCGACGTACTGATTATTATGATGATTATGTGCCGTAATCGATTTAGATACGCTACGTGCAGACAGCTGATATTTAATTCGTTAATTAAGCACCATATAGGCCTACCACTAACGAATGCTGCAAAGTTTAGTCCATATAGAATGGTTTATTGCCTTAACCCTCTTGAAGAAGTGATGTGGGGAGGTTTTCACTTTTAAAAACCTCCCGTATTATTTCAATCAAGCCGATGCAATGACTGGCATTGGACAAAATCTTGTCAATCGTATGATACATGCAATTTGGCAACTGTGTACACGTAAAATAGGATAGGAAGGCAATTAAAAAAAAGAAGTAAACTTTACTGTACTTTACCACTATGAACTGATTTCTTACCCTTATTCAAAGGAAATGCTGCCATTAAACTTCTAGACTTTCTCATTTCTGCAATCATCAGTTCCATGCAGCCGCTGAGTTGAATAACTAATCGTCGAAATTCTGGCCTTGTATTTGTCCTTAAATCACAATAAAATACCACGATACATAATCAGAACATACCTAGTATCTTTTACCCTTTTCACATGTACTTTAATACAAAAACTCGAGTTTTCTTGCAGTCCGTAAATTGTTTTTACATTTGGTCGTTTCACTTCACATTTTATTTTACAGAGTGAAGAATAAAAAAGTTGTATGATCTCATGATCATGATCTCATGATTTTTTTTTATCACATTTCTATACGATAGAACCTCTATTAAGGGTACACCATCGGGACTAAAAAAGTTTCCCCTTAATAGGGGTGTCCCCTGAATAGTAGTACCCCTAGTCAGGGGAGATTAACCAAAAACCTCAAATTGTCCACTTAATAAGGGTTTTTGGCATGTTTGTATACAACGATTAAATACATTATTTATAATTTCATTTTTATTGACATAAACATCAGTTACAGTAGAATTAGAGCTAATTTATAGCAATAACTTGCAATGCAAATAAAATTCATTTATAATATGAAATTAGCAGCCTAAATGTAATAGTAAAAACAACAACAGTTTTATAGTATGTTCCCAATATTATTTCATGATGCAATAATAATGACCAAATATTCATTTTGTAATATTGAGCTAACGAATTAAAATTAAGGGTGAACATTTTGGTATGGATTAGACTCCTATAAGAAAGAACACGAAAAACAAAAAACATGATTAGGGTCAAAATTGACAAGATTGCTTTATACCCAATATTTTCTATAGTAATTCAAGGGAGAAAATTCTGCTCAAATGGTTTCAAAATTAAGTGTCCTGTACTTACCCTTTTAAATGGGGTGATAGTTTGGATTTGGCCGACTTAGCTGCCTCAAAACATTTTAATCTCGCTTTGTTCACATCTTCTCTGTGTTCGTGATTGTCCTCTGTATCACCAATTGAAATTACCTTCTCCCGAAAATGTGCAACTTTGCAGTTAAATTCACGTATAAGCTGAAAGAAAAATATTTTCTGAAACTAGTTTCTGACGTATCAAAAACAACTAGGCCTATCCTTATATTTCCGCTGCGTGTTAATGTTTTTCCAGATACATATAGGCCCTTCTTTCTATTTATGGAACAATATAAATGAAATAGATTTTTTGCTAAAGCATTTCAGACCAATTAACTACATGTAGTGGTAGATTTGCTAGTTTTCATGTGTATTGTGGTGGGGGAATGCTTCCTATTTTTTTATGAGACATAATTTGTGACATGTGTTTCGTCATTGTGTCTTCGTATGATACTCAATGACGGGTCCCTGATGCTTCTCTTCGTTGAGCTCATCAATAGTGTTTACAATGATGACATAATGTTTTTATTCCTATATGTCGGTAGCTGTTTTTAGTGAAATAAAAGCCACAAGCCATCTTACACAATAGTTAAGAAGAAACATCAGATTCCAACATTAGACAACCAAGGGTGAATCGAGAAAGAAAGGTTTCTGATCTCGGTTAGTTGATAGTTTTGTTGTGTTTTTGTTTGTGTTTTTTCATATGTCACACACCAAAGTTAACCCACGAAAATCGAAAGACTTATTTTAAGTAAGGTCCTTCTGGTAGTAAAGACAGCCGGGTATGGGGCCACCAAAACAGCCTGATTTTTTCGAATGATGTTTTGCATCCTCTGTATACATGAGCCAATCTATGGGCCTACAGTGGCCATAAGACCATATTCAGCAACTGAAAAGAGCGAGAAGTGGTTTCACAGGGCATGTTTTTTCTGTAGTGTTCGACCTCATCTCACCCACGTCTACTTAGTCCCAAATACGGTTCTGTCATGCGATTGTACCGATTGCCTAACTTAGTGATCCGACGAGAGCAGGTGTTTCAATGTGGTGCGGTCGTAGATCTAAATTAAATATTTACTGTGGATTCAAGTAATGATATGATAAATGCCAAGGTTTTTATTGAGTAATTAGAAAGTGTTCAACGAGCTCCAGGTATTTAGAGACGATACGTTACTTCAATTGACTATTTATCCATTGTTTAATCTCATATTTTGATAACAGGTAATGATATATAATAAGTAACATAATTTAGTAAGACATTTCTGGTAATAAATAAGGGTGTTTTTTTAAATTTCATTATGGAGACATGTTTTGAATATTCCGTTCTCAAAGCCTTATGTCACGTTCAGTGACAGAAAGGCAAATGAAATATAATAGTATATATTGGATGACGGATACCTTAACAAATTACCGCTTCCTAAATTCAAATGTCATTATTTTGTGTGGTTTTTCTATTTTTTTTTTTTTTATCTGCGTGCATAGGCCTAATATTTTTTTCCCTTTAAAAGGAAGACATGAAAGCCTTGAAAAATATAATTAATTGACTTCAGTGGCTGAAACAAAATCGCTGTCCTATCGGGGTGATGCATGATTATTACGCCCGTCTCACGCCAATTATTATGGATGTGTGCGAAAGAGTTACGTGTAAGCGTTATACGTGTATATATTATTGAAAATAAAAAAAACTATTGGTACAATGAGGTACTCTGTTTACATGCGCGTTACAAACTCGTAGCATAATTTTACATTTCCGTGATTAGCCGGAACAAGACCATGACTTGTTAATACTCTACAGGGTGAAGAGCTATCCGAAAGTCCAGGATTAATAATAACTGTGTAGGCCTTTATGTCTGCGTTTTAAGTTTATTAAACATGACATGTATGGAATATTGAAGCGAGTATATTTTTCTGTTTGGAGATAAGAGAAACGGTGTTTTAATCTTATTAATCTATTATATTATTGCTTAAAATTAAGATTTACGATGGTTAGAGTTTAGGGTATAATGAACCACAGCTAATTCACATATGAGTATCTTGGAATCTGTAGCTGCACTATATACAAAATACAAGCAACCTCCTCCTTTCTTGACAAGAGTTCTACTTGCAAAAGCATAGGTCTAGATTCAATTTTTTTTAAATAAAATTTTGCCCAGACTCAGTGTTTTTATTTTTTTGCTGATTTCAAGCGTGAAATATTCTTATTTTGTTCTTATTTTTACACATTTTTTAATTATAGAAAATTATTATTGTACAGCAGTATATTATTTTACTGTATTATAGATAGAGGGTAGGTCTATTAGATAGTTACATTTTTATCTCAGTCTCAATTTGCCTTATTTTTTTCTTAGTTTTTAAGCAATTTTAGCCTCAGAATTCTTATAAAATGTGTTCTTTAAAAAAAAAAAAATTCTTCCAGGAGCCTAGAGACACAAAGGAAGAAGATAGCATTTTCCAAGCAAATAATATTTCTTGATTCAAGAACGTATGTGATCGTACGATGTACAGGCATTTGGATTCGAATCCCGATGAGACCATTATTATATACAATAGAAGTTTACTTACTTTTTCACATTCGTCAACGTAGATGTGGAGGGAACTTCCGTAATTGATTTCGTCAGTTGTAGCAAAATCGTAATGCGATCCTCTGGAGCGACTTATCGACGATCGTAGCGATTGCCTGCTACGGCACCGTCCGTTCTTACTTTTATTCATTCACACCACGTCGCTCGTACATGTACGATGATAATTCGCTCAGGATGGTGCTTTGGCGATCTGCTTCAATCGGTATTATAAAACTACCAAGTTGCCTTGTCAATCGTATTTGCAAAAGATAAGCAAATTTTCTTGAGGTCATAAGCACTTCGAGGTAAACACTATAAATGGATGGATGAATGAATGATTGGATGAATGTTGAAACTGCTAATTATATACTGCTAACTGTATTCAAATCAAACCCAGACAAACTACAATAATATTCATAGTTTTGTAGTAAATAGACGCTTTTCTTCCCCATCAGCCTATTCAACGAATGTGGCTAGCCCAGGGTTACCATCTCTTCCTCACAAGAGAAGAAAAGACTTATCCCGTTGGCAATGTCGACGACGTCACACTCATCGGTGTATATATATGAACTAATTTATTTGCACCCGCAGATGTTCTCACAAGAACTTGAGTTGTGTGCGAACATTATTTAGGCCACTTGGTGTACCGTCCCTCTTGAAGTTTATGTGCGTCCGTTATGTATATTTTTAGCAAATCACCTGAAAAAAGAAGAAAAATCTGCGAATCATTTGTCGGAACGTGCTGTCCCGGGTAGTGAGCCTTTGAAAATGTCTTAGCGTCGTCATCGTTTTATTGGAAGAATTCAAAAATATTTTAAACATCCTAAGGTAATATCATCATTTAAAAAAATAAACAAATAAATAAATTAATTAAAAAAAATAATAATAATAATTATTATTATTATTATCATTATTATCATTATTACTATTATTATTATTATTATTATTATTATTATTATTATTATTATTATTATTATTATTATTATTATTATTATTATTATTATTACTACTACTACTACTACTACTTAATTATAAAGCTCACAATTAACAAGGGGAAACCCCACTTCCACAATTACGTGAAACTTCAAAAACCAAGATTTTTCCAAAA